TACCGGTATCATTTTGCATTTCTCTGTATTGACTTCGTTTTGTTGGATGTTAGTAACAGCCATAAAGGCTTACAGAGACTTAGTTATAGTCTTCACAAAATATATACCTTGTCAAATGACACTCGCTACTATTTTCAGTTGGGGTCTACCAATAATAGTGATCGTTACTTATATTTTTAAGGCCACTGAACCATACAAGGGCCGTTTTGAAGAAATGACTCCCAGTGGCAGTTTTTGTTATCCGTCAGGATTGGATTTATGGTTCTCAGTATACATACCTATTGCTGTAATATTGCTTATTAATGTAATTTTATTCTTCTATACGATTGGTTTTGTATCTAGCAGTATTCACAATCAAAATATAACTTATTATGAAGAAGCTCATAAGTGTGCACGAATTGGTATAGTGCTTGTGTTTCTTTTCGGTTTACCGTGGATATTTGGACTTTTTGCTTTCAATATTGTAGCGGCTTATATGTTCACTGTTACAGCTACTTTTCAATGTTTTATTCTATTCATTTTTATTATATGCGGGAATAAGGAGACGAGAGATCTTTGGCTTTTCAAATTAAAACTGAAACCAATGCCCAGATATAAGCGCCAATCGGCAAGTAGACGAACTATTCTCCCTACTTAAATATAGAATTATAAAACAATTACACTTTATGGGTAGAAATTAAACTGAGAATAGTTTTTTTATGCAACTTAGAATGGTAAACAAGCTGACGGCCCACCTAATGGAAAGTGGTAACCGTCGCCTATAGACATGTGTAGTACTATGGACATAATAGAGTATACTGTTTCACCCATGATATCCCCCATGCATTGCCATTCCTGAGAACTAAAGTGTAAATTATAATGGAAAAACTTTTGTTTATAAGATAGTTTTTTAGCCTCGGCTTTTCATGTACAAGTGAAGAAAATAGGACCGAATCTTAATTACATTTGCAATTGCTCTCTTTTATTTCATTCACTTTTTTTTATGTGCAGACCTTTTTGACTCAAAATTTTCACATTTTTGTATGATATTTAAAACATTTTTTTTTTTATACAAGTCTTGTTCTAACAATTACAAACAATAAAATGAAAATTAACCAAATAGGTGCAGTCGTTTTGGAGTGATGCGCTTGTATAAATTTGGCAATTGATTTTTTTTTTATTTATATAGATTAGTTTGTATTACCACTAGCATATTCCTTTTTAAAAGGCCGGCAGCACACCTGCAATGCCGTAGGTGTTGTGGGTGACCATGGGCGGCGGTAGTCACTTACCATCAGGTGAGCCGCATGCTCGTTTGCCCCCTGTGTTGTAAAAAAAAAACTAGAAATGTAAAATTCTTTCAAAATATCATGGTTGGTACAAAAAATACACTTCATGATTTTTCCAACATAGAAGCAAAGAGATCTGTATTATTTTTTTATAATAATAATTTACTAAGATAATATTTAGTGATTAAATTAGAATAAATAAATGTAACTGTAAGCTTATTTGTAATTACTGTAATATTTATTATAGTTTCTAGTCTTTATTAATAAAAATAAATAAATATATATAAATATTTTGTAGTTTATTTTTGAAATCTTTTGTTAAAATACTATAGATTGGTGGTAATCTTTTGTTATATTTATTACTAATTAAACTAATTATAGTATAACAAATATATCTTTTGTTATATTTGTTATACTTTAATTAGTTTTGTTATATTTATTATTTCAGCCGTTAACTGTCCACTGCTGATCATAAGTCTTCCCCATAAGGGTAGTTTTGCCAGTACTTGCTACGCTTGGTAAGCAGGTTAGCAACCGTAGTTAGGCTTTTAGAGGTGTTTTAAGAGCCACGTTGCTGCCCATACCTCGTGCTCCTTTAGTTGCTTTTTATGAAACCCACGGAAAAGGAAAGGGTGACTTATTCCATGCCGGGACCGTACGGAAAGACTTATGGTTGAAATGTATAAAATAAAATCGTATCTCCCCCCCCCCCCCCCCGGGTTAAATTATTACCACTACCAGTTCGTCCTAAACGCTTCTGTCAAGTTCAGTTCAGGATTCTTGAACTTCCTTTGTATAGGACACATTTTATGGGCAACTCTTTCTCGTATCGAGCTTTCCAGTTATGGAACATACTCCCTTCCCACATACAAGAGAGTCCATCTATTATCTCTTTCAAGAAAAGGTTGAAATTACAGTTTCTTTTCTTTGAGTTATAACTTTATATTTTTCTATTTGAACTGTCAAATCTTAAAATCATTAAAACACATTTCTAATGTAAGTAGTATATTCATTTATTTTAACATTTGTTATATAAGTAGGTAGGTATTATGTTTATTTATAGTATATATATTTATGTAATATTTTATTATATATTTTAATATTTCATTTAAATGTATATTTGTTTATGTATTCTAAATATTAATAGTTGTAGCACTTTAGCTACCTGATAACGACATGCTTTTTAACTGTATTGGGTTGACTGGAAGAGATCTCTGTCAGAGATGAGTCCATCCTTGCTAACAATATTTATGCATTATATTACATGGAATTTACAAGTGCAATAAAGAAACTAAGAAACTAAACGTTATGCTTAAAATATTATAGCATTAGTATATTTGTTATGATTTGAAGTCGGTTGATTATACAACAATACAAGATAAAGTAACCCGTTTGTAATTCGTTCTTGTATAAATAAATATATTCTATGTTAATTTATCATAGCTATATTTCTAGATTTTTATAACATCGTCCTTTATGATACATATGTATATCACATTTGCCACATTTAGCTACTAACAAAGTCAGTGTCAGTAAACTGTAATCTGTCATACAAGGACGTTCATTGCCCGCAGCGAATTTCACATATTTTCGATTGCCGGGAATATTGGAAAGAAACTATACTTGTTTTATGTTAATTATAATAGATAGATAGATAGATAAACGCTTTATTTGAGCCATTTATAACACACGTAAATTAACAAGTGAGTTCATACAATCAAATTAATTAATTATTTTTTTAAAATATAAAACAAAAAATTAAATAATAGTGTACAGTTAGTAATTACATTATTTATTATTTTTTATACTGTTATGAGCAAACTGTGATATTAATGTGAGGCGTTAAAATTAATAAGGTAAGAGTAATGGACAATAAATTAAGATCGTGTTTTACAAAAAGAAAATCGATTTTAGTATTGACAAAACCAGTTATTTTTAATTTAAAAACTAAATTACTGACTCGATTATGATATTTTTTTTATGAAACCAATCTGTAAGTATATCTTCAAACATATAAAAAGAATTTGACAAACTGGTTTTTTAATTGATGGTGTTATAAGGTAATAAACGAAATAAAAAAACAAAAAATACAGTCGATTTGTGAACCTACTTTTTTTTGAAGTCGGTTAAAAATGTATCGTATTAAATATCATATAAAATATTGTTTTACTAGTTTTGTCCACAATATGACTTTATATATATATATATACTTCTTTTTTAATTGGAACATACTACATTTAACTTTACGAGGTCGCCATTGAAAAACTGCTTATCCTTTGTACTATAATTATTACAATACAAGATTTTTTGCTTTATTTATTCTTTATTGACATTACAAAAAATTACTGGTACAAAAGGCGGACTTAATGCTATTTAGCATTCTCTCTCAGTCAACCTTTGGCAAAACAAAAATGTAATTATGCGATGAAAATTTGTAAATTGTTGTAGATAAACAATTGTTTTATTTACTTTATGAAAATAAAACAAATTTATCACTCGCTTGATATAACTGTTGCATATTCGATTTAAAAGTTTTAGAAACTAAATACTTTTTTATCATAAATATAATGCTTTAAATATACATTTTTCTATGTCCTTGTCCATGTTATATTTTAGTAAAAAGAGTTTTATTTGCGTCATTTTTCTTTTTTCACATAATATACGACTTAATCGCCGTGCAGTCCCAGCATAGAATAGGCCACCCCTTCCTTTCCCGTGGGTGTAGTAAGAGGCGGCTAAGGGAGGGCGAGGGATGGGCAGCAGGGTTCCTCTGAAAACATCTCCAAAAGTTGCCAATCCGCCTGTCAAGCGTGGCAATTACTGGCAAAACCCTCCAAGGAGGAGGCTTATGTGCAGGAGTGGACAACTATAGGTTGTTAACGGGAACAAAACACAATATTTTCTTCTTAAACTATTAAAATTTTTAAATATAACATAATACCAAGCCAATCTGTCCAACATTCTTTTATGGAGCGAAAATCATGTCCAGTGAATGTTTTGGTGTTTCAGATGATGATGAATGAAAAAATAATGTTTATGTAAGACCAAACCGATTTCCTCCTAATATACCGTGAAGCAGTTATGTTTGCATGGCTGTGTTTCGGTTTGAAGGGTGGGATATGGCGTGAATTTACAGGGTACAGAGGAATAAAACCTGAGTCCTCAAGAATGGCAACGCATGGGGGGTATCATGGGTGAAACAGTATACTCTGTTATGTCCATAGTACTGCTCATTTCTATAGGCGACGGTTACCACTTTACATCAGGTGGGCCGTCAGCTTGTTTGCCATTCTAAGTAGTATAAAAAACAAAAATTAATGTACAAAATTTAAAAATTTTATTATATTTTGAAGTTATTACAATCGTCGATGTACAAGATAATTTTAGTATTGACAATAAAAATGCTTTTAGTCCAACATATTTGGTTCTAGTTTACCCACAGATAACATAATGCTACAGTCACTGTAATTTACATGAAATTGCAATTAGAAAAAAAAAATGTTTATTTGTTTAAAAGATCTACTCGTTTTTCTAGATAACAGTCAACAACGTACATAACTTTTCTTTTATGGACAATTAGCGGTGATGATGTCAAAATATAAGCAGAACGATTAAGTGGTCAATTACTATTGTTTATCATAAACTCAGAAAGTGTACTTGATAAGATAAGCACGAGTATATTATGGAGTAAATGACGTGTCACCATTTTCTGTTTCAGATGCGTGTCCAACATCTATCTGTTATCTGTATACTTTATGTTTATTTTAATTTAACATGTCTCCAAACATCTGAAGCGAAGAAATTTAAAACAACAAGTGTATGCCCGATTGGGTTTAAATTAGCTTCCAATAAAGACAGCAACCATTATGTATGTTATAAAAGAAAAGGATTGGAAACATTTGCAGATATATTTAAAGACTGCGATGGAAATCTTTATACTTCAAAACTATATCGCAGTTTAAACATATCTATAAACGATGAAGTAGATACAGTGTGGGCTGAATACCAACCGCTATATCCTGGAGGACCTTTTATTAGTACTCCACGTAATAAATATGAAGAAGTAATTCTTGATAATGTGACATATTTTGCAGATTTTGATATATATCGAAAAACATGTTTAACAGAAAATAAACTTGGACATTTCACAGCGGTGGAGTGTGAGGAAAAGCATTATAGATATTGCATAGTAAAACCATATTCTAAGATAGCGCAAGAAAATAATAAGTCAAGCTGTGATGATTTTCATCAATCTTGGAGATTCAATGGTCCGGAAGAATTATGCGTTTTCAATGTAGAAGTTCAGAATGGAGAACCTCTTAGAGCGACTTGGAGTCAAGCGCAGGAATTATGTGCTAAATACGGTGGATCATTACTCAGCAAAGGATGGCAATATGCAAATTTTCCTTTTTTTAATAAATCAGATTTAACAATGCCTATATACGCCTTGGGCATGATTTGGAATAACAATCGAAACACACATAAATTTATTCCTGATGATTATGTAAGAGAAGTGTATTTATATTTAATATATATTATGTCTTATTAAATTTATAACACATTATCTGTTGTATTTCAGAGTTCAGTTAATTCAGTTTCGGGCCAATCGGTATTCAACAGCAATGATACCGTTTTTATGGCGATACAAAACGAAACTTGGAAACTTGTCAATAGTTCTTTCATTTTTAATAGTATAATCTGTGAACGTTCTGTTCAACTCAACAATATAATTATGAAGCTCGTTATCAAAATGTAAGTATATTTTTTTTAAATTAACTTCAGTACCTTGATATTATAGAAATTAAGTACTTTATTATGTAAGTGACCATTAATTATTCAGTCAGATGTAAATAAAATTGTTAAAAAAAAATTGAAAACAATTAAATTAATTACTTGCGTATACTGTCATTTTTTAGGTATCTTTGATTTAATTAGTTTTTATAAATTTTTCTGTTGCTGTGTGGTCTCTGCATAGAATAGGCCGCCCCTTCATTTCCTGTACATGTCGTAAGAGGCGATTAAAAGGCGAGGGTTGGGCAGAAGCGTCCCTCTTAAAACATTTCTAAAGCCTAACTTCTGTTAAATCCCCCAGGGGGAGGCTTGTGTTAAGCAGTGGACAGATGATGATGATGATGATGATGAATAGATTTATTTAGGTGTCTGGTTACTCCTACAATCAACTACTGCTGTAAAGCCATCTACTTGTCAGTTTCCTTTTGATGTAGGATAACAATTAAAATAATTGTAGTTTTATTGTTTTGATATATTATATATTACAAGGTCTCAATTATGTATTTTTTACTATTACATCTGTCACGCCTGTCTCATTATTATGTTTCGATTCAAACAAAAGTTTTTATTGTTTTAATTTTAATTGTTTTTCTTATATTTCTAGAGATAAAATATTATTAATTGTTAACAATTCAGTGGATATAAATAACGTTTACTGTTACACAAACTCTGAAACCTACTATCCAACAAAAGTAAATATTCTCAATAGAACTAATAATAAAGAATTTAATATATATGAATTATCTCCGAAGTATTATGGTTATTACTGGTGCGTTCACATCGACCCGAACAATTTTCATGTTACCAAATCGAAGAAAGTACTCTTTGTGGGCGATAAAAAGTTTTTATCGAATCAATATGCTATCAAGATTCGACTTGAAAATAAATACTCCTTTAAAAATATTGAGGACATTAAAAACAACTGGAAAGAAAAGTTGGAAAAATATATTTTCTATAGAACAAAATATTTGAACGCACATGGCGTTGAAAGTTTAACGAATACCAACGGAAGCAAAGATCTTAAAATTCATAAAAACTTAGATTTGGATCAAAATTATATTCTTTCTAATATTAAAATAAAAAGGATCTATATGGACAAACGGACAGTTCTTTTTCACGTACAAATCCGGGAAGATATGATACCTGCGGAGTCGGCTAAAATCGAAGGCGGTGAAATATTGTTCATGAAGCCAGTTTATTATTGCAATAAACATGATGTAAAAATATCGCTGTCTATGAGTAAGTTTATTGGTTTTTATTTTCAACAAATATTTATATAATTAAAAAAAAATATTTGTCAATTAATAAAAAGATAAGTTACGATGAGTTAAAAACAATTGCAGATTATTTTACGTCTAAATCGAGATGTAATACTTATAAATGTGTTGGAAACTTTGACGAAGGTGTATCATTAGTGACAGAAGGAACCTCTGACTGTGTTATACACAGCTCTATTTTTAATCCTGAACATAAAAATATTGGACAACTAAATAATAAGACAAACAGTACATTCGGAAGTAAAACATCAACATTAACAGTGAGTATTGTATCGTTTGGTTTGTGAGCTCACTTTATATGTCACCTATATAATCTTCTGAATAAACCTTGAAAATATTTTGATTTATTTAAATTTTTCTTTTTGCAGCCCGAAGATCAACTCGAGCAAGTACTAAATGATTTAGATACGTTATTACAAGATGATGTTTCAACAATAATGGTGGATAAAATTGATGATACTTTTGACAGGGTAAATTTTCTTTCAGTAAACTCTAAATTAAACATAATTGAGATTAAATATATCGAATTTTCTAAGTACTTAAATTTCTGTCTTATTAGGTAGACAATTTGTTACAAATCGATGAAGATTTACATATACCTGGTCAATTCCTTCATATGTTAGATAACGTTAGCTTAAGGCTGAACTTAAATGGCAGAGAGACAGATAGGATAATCCGAAACAATATTGCATTATTGGTAGCTGATATTGGGCCTGATAATCCGATTAAGGGAATAATGATTGCGGTCAGAAATTCGAGCATGAATTCATTCACAGATGACTCCTTTCAGTTTTTAGTTGGTAAGTGCATACATTAATATATTGTATAAAAATAATCTGATCTTATATCTAACGAGAATAGCTTACGGTGTGGTCGTTTGCCTCGAACGTAAATTAAAAGTAAAACTTGATGGGTACATCAAGTTCTTCTCTATTTGCCCCTCTAATGTCATTGAATTATAGACAAAATTCGTTCCTTTGGCGAGCTAGCAACAACTTTAATACTCTCGCTAAAACCTTGAATATCGACTTATTTTCGAAAAATATAATATTAGCGAGAGACCAACAGAGCAAAGAATTTTTTGATTCATAGACTGTTTGAATATATATTGTATTGATAAGAAGGCTTCATTTTAGTCAAGTTAATTTTTACTTTGTATTTCATTCATTTTTTTTTTATTTCTTTTAATTTTTTTTATCATTCCTGTTTTTGTTGCTTCATGTGCGGTACCTTTCATCCATCTTGTTACTATTTGTGAAAACCTATTACTGGCTAAGCTACTTTTTGTAATCCTAGACTATATCTATTTACACTACATTTACCTGGTTTTCCGATAAATAATTAAATAAATAAAAGCATAGACATGAAAAATAAAAGTAATATTACAATTCCAGAAGAGATAAACTCAACAAAACTACTTACTAATACAACCGAGACAATAGTATACTTACCGGAATCGATCACCAAATCACATCGACGTATCAGCTTTCTCGTATTCCCGAACGGACGAGCCTTTTACTCAACTGAGAGGAACAACAAAGTTAATAGCAATATCATTAGTGTTAATGTTGAGAACAACACCGGTTTTGAAAATGAAGAGGTAAGTTACAAGTTCTTGTTGCAGAAGTTGCTCAGAGACAGGATAACTTTTTATACAACTTAGAATGGCAAACAAGCTAACGGCCCACCTGATGGAAAGTGGTAACCGTCGCCTATAGACATGAGCAGAACCATGGACATAACAGAGTATACTGTTTCGCCCATGATACCCCCCATGCGTTGCCATTCCTGAGGACTCAGGTGTTATTCCTCTGTACACAGTAAATTCACGCCATATCCCACCCTTCAAACCGAAACACAGCCATGTAAACACAACCGCTTCACGGTTGAAACACGAATGGGACAGAGGTACCCAAGCAATCGACTTTTATACAAAGTCTCCCTCTGGTGACTTTGATCAAAATATTTTTTGATGGAAGTAATTTTATTATGTATTAACTTTCATAAAATATTTTTTGTAATTTTTTTTTATTTCTGGTGCAATAATTTTTTTTAATACAAAAATTGTGGTCATTAAGCATATAGTATTTTCTGTTCTGTAAGAAATGATTTTTTATCTATGGTAAAACTTTTACCTTGTAGTACCAAAGTTTTTTTAAACAAAAATATAATGTATTTTTGGAATGATTACTTGCTATACAAGTTTTTTGAGAATATCTCGATAATTATTATTGGAAATAATAACATGCTCTAAATATGAGCGTCTAAAGCAAAAGCAGCAGTTAAAATCTTCCAAACACTGTACGTTGTATGCAAACATTTGTTATATTATAAAAAGCTCTTATTGTATTATTCCTTAGGTGATAGATATTTACCTACGTCCTTTGGTGAAAAATCCAGGCCGCAACGTGAGACGCGAATGCAGCTATTGGCAATTCACAGAAAATGACACTGGATACTGGTCAACAGAGGGTTGCATTTACATCAAATCAACCGACCCAGATACTTTAGATATTTGCCGATGCAATCACTTGACGCACTTCGCAGAAGTTCTTGTTTCACATAATGTAAATTCGCACCGTAGCGAGATAATTCTGGAAGTAATATCTTTAGTAGGATGCTGTCTATCAATATTGGGTGTATTCTTTATTGTACTAACAGCTATTACATTCCGATCATGGCGAAAAGAATTTAGCAACTTGATATGGCTTCAACTGTGTATAGCGATATTTCTCTTAAAGATGTGTTTTATACCCATAGCTTTTATTGATTTTGAGGGCCGTGATATTTTGTGCTTACTGGTAGGAATAACATTGCATTATACATTAATAGCCACTTTCTGTTGGATGCTTGTAGCTGCTATATTGTCTTATAGAAAACTAGTTTTAGTTTTTACAACAGATCTTAGTCATAAATTTTTAAAAGCATCTGCTTTTGCATGGGGAACTCCATTTCTAATAGTTGTCATTCTTCTTTCTGTCGATTGGCATTCGTACATGGTATATTTTGAAGATATAACTTTGAACAGAAAATTCTGTTATCCTTCTGGATACGGATTATGGTTTGGCCTATATTTTCCTGTTGCATTTATGTTACTTGCAAACTGGGCGATATTCTTTTCAATAATTTACTCTGTATTTCTTTGCAAAACAGTTCCGAGGTATGGAAATACGAATGAAGCAGTGAGATTTGCTTTCGTCAGTTGTCTGCTTGTATTTTTATTTGGTTTGCCTTGGATTTTTGGTTTCTTCGCTTACAATGTTGTCGCCGCATACTTTTTCGTTTTCACAGCTACCTTTGAAGGGTTCATGCTGTTTCTTTTTATTGTTTTGGGAAATAAACAAACTAGAGATCTTTGGATTAATAAATTGAATTTAAAGTGTAATAGAAAAATTAGTCTCGCATCCACATATAGAAATAAAAGTGTAGTTAAGCAAAAAGAAAAATGGGTTTGCTCATCTAAAACTATATGTTCTAAGGAAGTATATAATTTAGATCTACCATATTAATAATTACTCCTAGATTCATATTTAGGCCATTATACGTGAGAGTATGGTTAGTTCAACCAAACAAGGCAAATGGTCGCAGGGATCTAAAAGGGACTTTGGTGATCTCAGTTATTTTGTATCTAAAGTCTTTATCTATGTCTTGTATAATAAGTAGTACCTATGTAAACGCAGTAGAAATAGCATATACTCGTATGCGAGCAATGCACAAGGCTATTTTACAATTAGATACAATCTATAAATACTAATTACAGGCATGAAGTATTTGTGTTAGTATTTTAGTCCAGGTGTAAATGGATATATAATTTATTCAGCAAAGACATTTCTGGCAATCCAACGTGGAAGTGCAGTAAGCTTTATGGGGACATTTGGATCGTGTACGGGACGGGAAGGTATTTTGGATTAGCTGTTAATCTTTTTACTTTATGAAATAATATTGTCATTTATAATAATTGCATTATTTAATATTAAGATTCACATGTATTATATTTTAGCAAAGTATTTCTTTTGTGCTTATATTTCAGTATTTTGAAAATATAATCATGTAATTATGTTTAAATTTTTTTTTTTATACCACTTAGAATGGCAAACAAGCTGACGGCCCACCTGATGGAAAGTGGTAACCGTCGCCTATAGACATGAGCAGTACCATGGACATAACAGAGTATACTGTTTCGCCCATGATACCCCCAATGCGTTGCCATTCCTGAGGACTCAGATGTTATTCCTCTGTACCTTGTAAATTCACGCCATATCCCACCCTTCAAACCGAAACACAGCCATGCGAACACAACTGCTTCACGGTAGAAACACGAATGGGACAGAGGTACCCAAGCAATCGACTTTTGTACAAAGTCTCCCTCAAGATTAGATGAATCAGTTTTATCTTAATATGATTTATGCATTATCAACTTACTTGACAATAAAAACTTAATTATATTTCGTATTATTATTTAATTAACATAATATTATAACAGTATTATTTTGACGTAGCTAGATCACTGTAAATTGGGATAAATATGAAATAATTCAAGAAAATATAATATATCTCTATCTTACTCTTACTGTATATTTCCTTTTTTCTTTAATGAATGATAATGGATAACCTCACCTGCGTTAACGGTATACGCTGGCGGGGCACCAGTGAGAGATGATAAGTGAAGATGAAGCAGGTCAATTGGCCTATCGTAAAAAATTCACTAATAAATCAATCACGATGGTTTCCAGGGGGAAAGGCGAGGAGGCCGGCCTGATAGGCTATATTGTTTGCAATAGGGTTACCAATCCTCGTTACCAACAATCCCTTTTCCCCCCGTCTTACTGTATACTGAACTCATAAATACCTTTATGAATATGCAGTGTGTATATACAGTATTCGAAATGAACCTTTATATTAATTGACAATTATAGATTTATAAAAAAAAAAAATTAAATTAATGAGTAATAATAAAAATATAATATATCACATCAATAGACAATATTTTCATTTAAAATTAATACAATTAATTAATAACAAAATAAAAGAATCAGTTAGTTTTCTATAAAAAGAAAAATTAAAAATAAATGTATGGTAACAAAAATATAATATATCACGTCAACAGATGGCATTTTTATTTGAAATTTATAAAATTAATTAATAACAACAAATCAAAGAATTATCAGGAGCATATTTATAAGCATATAGGTAGATAGATAGATACGCTTTAGTCCCATATGTCCTACCAATATAAAAAGCGGTCACAGAGAAAATTTTTCTTCAATGACAAAATATAATGTTTGTGGTTTAATGGCTAGTAAAAAGGAAATTAGACGTCAGATTACGCAGTATGGCCTCTGTTTCCTTTGCCTCTACTTTTAAAAAAGACGAATAAAAGAAAAAAGTTTTTTTTTTGTTTATTTAAATTACTTGGCAATTTACTATATAATTGCGAATTGATATTACTGAAATTTGATTGCCATATTTGAATAACATTTCTAAGAAAAAATTAAAAGACAAATAAGCAAATAGATAGCGTAACGCGATGTGTATGTAAAAGTTTTTCTAAAAATGTGAGGTTGTCATTTTTATTACATATGTAGCGGTATTTTTGTTAATCATTCTGTGTAAACTAATATTTAAAGATTACAATGAGACAAAACAAACAAGACAAGTAATAAATTAAACAATCGTACGCATTGTTACACAACCATGTTGAATTGTAAACATTTGTCAGCGCCGTGTTTGTGTCAACGTAGCATTTTATCTTGAACGGATTACTTTTCCATGAAGAAGAGTGTGAGAAACGAATTTAGTCTGTGGTAATCGCTCAGAGTTGGACGTTGCATTCCCGCTAAATTGCATTGCGTGTGCGGTTTACGTGAAAAAGTTGATAACAGAAATTGAATTGATTTTTTTTATTGTATTTTTGTGGTTTGTTTCCCAGTGTTATTCTACAATTTTTTTTTTAATTATTAAGTGTGTGTAGTGTTATTATGTGAATGTGTTGTAATTAAGGTGAGTTGAAATTAATTAGATATTATCGTAAGTGCATGAGTATTTGAGTTCATTAATTTCCTGTATGTATATAGATATTGAATAAAAAAATTAACATATTTATTTATTTAACTCTTTATTGCACCATAAATAAAAATATACAATAACAAGTGAATAATTGAAGTGAAATACAGTAACATAAATACGGATTGAAATATACACATAATTTGAAAAATAAAAAAAAAATAGTATGAGTCTGAAAAAAACAGTATCTGTCTATCTACCTATTGTATTGGTTTTCCGAATTAATTTTTTTATACTTAGGTAAATAAATAATGTTACTATGTTACTTCGTTCGCTGTAATTTATGTTTTATAGGTATACAGGTATAAATATATAGACAACCATCGAAAATGTGTGTATCTAAAAAAAGTGTTTTTTACCTATTTTTATCAGAAAAGGTTAAGTCGTTTAACCCTAAAAAGTGATCCAGACAGACAGGGAGAAAGAACTGTTTTCACATTATTATTAATAGTATTACATAGTTATTAATATGTAATAAATATATAATTTATTTAAGACCACATCTGTGATATAAAGTTAACAAGGAATTTTCAATGTATTTATAATGCAAATCGGATCTTAAGAACAAATTTAATAAATGACTGATGTCTCTAATTTATGAAGATACCGAGATGCTAAACAGTATCGTAAAATTATAACAATAATAAGAAAAATAAGAAAATACGTACCTATCGTGATACAATTTCAATGGCTGGATAATATTGTAACAGATCCTTAGACTATTTCTGAAGTGAAAAAAGTGTTGTCCTCCTCTCTCGTACTTGCTGTGCCCAGCAGGGTCCATAATTGAAATGTTATCTACCAAGTATATTATGGAATGCAATAAGAAATAAATAAATAAATAAAAATAAGGCAATACCAATACAATGGAAATATACACGAGTAGTACTATATTCACCACATGTCATTCGTAATTCGTCAAAAATTATAATTAACATACGCTTACACTTTTACAAAACTCACACAGTAAATGTCAAATAAATAAATTTGGCAATATAATCTTTTCTTTTTTTTATAAATTAGTAAAGTTTTACTTGTATATAAAATGTAATATAAACTTGCTACTTAAAATACAGGCTTGTCCTACGTTAGGTGATAGTTTGTATTGGTTTGTGGCTTATTATTTCTTTTATTTATTCATAAATATATACATATATGTGTACATGGCGGGCTTAATGCTAAAAGCATGCTCTTCCAGTCAACCATAGGGAAGTGTCAGAATACTGAAATGCGGTACTTTTAGAGTATACGTTATTTGTAACTAAATTGTATTAAAAAAATGTATATTTGTATATTATTTCGAGAATTTTTTACTTTGTTGGTAAGCGATCTGTGTATACAATTTTATTCATATCCTTTGGATGCTGACTGACTGTCTGATTGACCTATAATTTAATTAGTGATGCGTCCGATATCCGTAGTCGTATCCGCGGATATCTGGCAGAAAAATCTGTATCCGTATCCGCCATTTTTTGGTAGATTTTAAACGGATCTATTACTATTATAAATGTATTACGTATGTGAAATTCTAATTTACAGATTGTCATTTACTGTCTTAAAACAACATTCTCAAATTCTTGTTTAATAAATTGTACCTCTAAGGGGGTAAAACTTTCAAATTTCACGCGTACGGAGTTGCGGGTAAAAGTTAGTGGGTAAAAAACCCTAAACATCCAAATAACTTTACAAACTTTATATAAGTAGGTATTTAAGTGGAAAGTAAAAAAAAAAATAAGTGTCAGATGAGATAATCATACGTCATGATAAGCAGTCATTGTTTTAGATCATGGGAAGTTGCTGAAAAACATATAAATATATTATTACCCAACTTCTTAAAAATGAGTAATACCTAATGTTATTTATTTACGAGTATCTACTAGCGAGATATAAATTCTATTAAAAAATAGCCTATGTCTTAATTTATAATATGGTTTCTTTGTGCACCAAATATATATGTCTTAGTACCTTAAAATATCCAAATAGCTTTTCTTGTCAGTTGCGATTTCTGTCCAAATTTGAAATATTATTTCTTCAAATTTATGATTACTTTTATTCTTTCAGTTTAACTCAATCACAGACCTTTGTCAGTTTTCATTACATTTTACCAATTAACAATTATGCGTGCGATGAATAAAAACAGTCTTTTAAACTGTCAAAAAATTACCAACTAATTTCTCCAATAATCCCATTTATCAATTGAAAAAAAAAATCTGTCAAGATTGACTATTCTTATAGCATTCATACAACTGTACAAACATTTGCATTTGTGATATTAGTAGGTCATACAAATAAATGGATGGAATTAAAATGAAATGTTTATTTTGTTGAACCATGTGACGTATACTATGTAGTAATGAGATTTATGTATATAAACATAGATGAATACAGAAAAAAATGCAAAATATACAAAATAACAAAAAAAAAAAATATTAATAATTAATATACTTAATAACAACAGCAAATATTGAAAAATTAAACTAAATCTAATATATAATATAATCAATCAAACTCCTTTAACAAAAAGTAGTTTGTAAGAGATTGCCCTAGCGATAAGACCGCCTTTTTTACCTTTATGTGTATATTTCAATCTGTATTTATGTTACTGTATTTCACTTGAATTATTCACTTGTAATTGTATATTTTTGCACCATAGTGTAATAAATAAATAAATAAACTATAATAAAAAGATGATTTGTACCAGGCAGCAGGCATACCGCCGTCATACAGGTTAATCACTAAAACGGGAGTCAAAACCATGTTTTTGTCTCCCGTTTTAGTGTTAATTTAATCATGTAACATGTATTATAATATACATATATTTATTATGAAAAACATCAAGGTGGAATAACAAACGGATTGTGTTAAGAATTCGCTACGGATGTGTAGTTTTTATTACTCTTATGTATGTAGATAGGAGTTTGTTTTACTTTTAAAATTACACAACATCATGTGCTCTATTTGTATGGCGCGCGTCATCGCGTTGTACCTTAAGCAATCAAGTTTATCAGGAGCCTTATCAGTTTTCAGTTCATTTCTCAATTTCTACGCTAACATTTGCCTTATTTTGTTTTCTATTATATTTGCCGTGTGAAATCGGCATAGAATAGGCCACGTCTTCCTTTTCCTGTAGGTGTCCTAACTTATTGGTTCGAGGGATGGACAGCAGCGTCATTCTTGAAAGATCAAGGGCTAACTGCGGTGACAAGTATTTTTTGTCGAGTATTCTTTACTTATACGTAAGCTTTAAGAGCATATTCATTTTTAAAAGGTCAGCATCTTAGCTGAAATTCCTTAAATGTAACGGGAGGTCTTGGATATTCGTTATTCCATTATCACCCATTAAAAAAAAATCACTTACCATCAGGTGGGCCGCATGTTCGATTGTTCCTTATGTTAAAATACATGTATTGTACTTCATTTTCTTAGTTAACTCATAACTTCCGATATACTGTATTGCGACTCTGTCACCACGTGGGTGTCTTTCATATAAAATTTAAATCAAGTACGTTCAAAACCAATTGTGTTTTTTTTATACAACTTAAAATGGCAAACAAGCTGATGGCCCACCTGATGGAAAGTTTGTACAAAAAAGTCGCCTATAGACATGAGCAGTACCATGGACATCAACAAGCAGTTGTGTTTCGTCCATGATACTGTGTTGCCATTCCTGAGGACTCGGCGTTATTCCTCTGTACAGTAAATTCACGCCATATCCCACCCTTCAAATGGAAACACAGCCATGCAAACAACTGCTTCACGGTTGAAACACGGATGGGACAGAGGTATCCAAGCATTCGACTTTTGTACAAAATCTCCCTCTAGTAAATTTATGAAACAAATAAATTAAGACGCGATATATGTAACTATAATTGGATTACTCTATAGTAATATTGTAACTATGTATTTTTGCGTTATCAAATAATTATTCAACAACATTATCACGTACCACCCATTTCTATGAAGACAGGCTTATATTTTTACATGAATGAGCGGCCGTGGGCGCACCCAATACATTATAAGCCCATTACTTTAGTGGTTATTTTAATAATAAAAACAAAACGGCAACAGTAGCTGTCATTGTTAAACTTGACAAAAAAATCATGGTCACAATTGACCGTGCGAGTGCATCGCTCAGGGCTGTCCACTCGGCGGTTCGGTTATTTGTGAAACCGGCGATTGAGTAAAAGTTAAAACCGAAAACGATGACAAGGTGAACTTGAAGGGTGTTTTAAATGGATGAAAGGTGGGACCGACCTTTGTGAAAAAGATTAATGTGTTTTTGTGAAGCAGTTTCTTTTTTTAAATGTGAAGAAAAGTTAAGAGTTGATATGCTTTAATTGTATTTAAAAAATATATTCTTACAAGTATATACATTCTAAGTTATTTAATAATCTGAAAGTGTCATAATATATTATTATTCATATATCACTATTACTTGATAGTAATAGTGAAATATAGTGATCTATATAGTATAAAACAAAGTCGCTTCCCGTCTGTCTGTCCCTGTGTATGCTTAGATCTTTAAAACTATGCAATGGATTTTAATGCGGTATGTTTTAGTAGATAGAGTGATTTAAGAGGAAGGTTTATATGTATAATACATATATAATATTGTAGAGAAACACTGATAATTTTATCGTATTTATAAGTACGTTTATGATGGGAAAGTCCTTGTCACCTCATTGTCAAACTTGTAATACCATCGATGATGTACATCATATGCTATTAGAGTGTCGTATTAACACGAAGGAAAGAGAACAATTCATGCGCCACTTTAACTTAAATAAATTGAATGTTGGTCTTATTCAATCTATGTTAGCTGAACTTAAACCAGAAATTTTTGAACATCTCTGTAAATTATTGATGCCCATTAATTCTCCTCTTTCCGCCTCTAGGGAAAGTAGATAAAGTTTTGTTTGAGAAATCAGTTCAGGGTACAATAGGACTGATATACCTAAAAAAGGTAAAAGGCCTTAAAATAAAATTAAAAAAAGAGTACGTTACGTATATATATATATATATATATATATATATATATATATATATATATATATATATATATATATATATATATATATATATATATCGTATTCTGTGGTATATTTAGTATCAGCAATGCACCCGTGTGAAGCCGGGGCGGGTCGTTAGTATTATTTATTAATATTTATTAGTTTTATACACACGATATTTTGCCTTAAAATCATCATTATATCAGCTCTTAACTGTCCATTGCTGAACAGAAGCCTAATAATAAGGAGTAGCCTATTCTATACCGGGATCACAAGGCAGCCTATTTATTTAATGAACTCAATATATATATATATATATATATATATATATATATATATATATATATATATATATATATATATATGTAACTTTTCTCCTACAAAGAGGAAAGAAGCGTTGTTTTGATTTTCTGTGGAGTACACCATACCAAAAGCCGTGATTTCATTACTATGGTATGACTGATACCATTTTGTCAATAAATATATATATATATATATTGGCACGTATATATTCAATATCGGTTATGCAATATATATAATACCGAAATAAAGCACCCGATCGAAATGAATTTAGATATCCGACTGGTATGGGCGATATCGAAATAGATAGATTATTTTTTTTCCCGTCGTCCAGACAAATCATCTCCAGACATAACCCAATATATAGATATTGGCGTGATACCGATATTATCTCTGCCTACTAAATAGGCAACCCTTAGGAGGGTAAGGATTGTTAATAATGGAGATTAAGGGCCCCATTGCTAGCAGTATACCCAACCAGGTCGACCTCCATGTGGTCCCCCCTGGAAACCATCGGGCTGAATTCCAAGTGTATTCAACACGATGGGCTAACTGATCTGTCGTTTCATTCTCACCTATCATCCCTCACTGGTGTCCCATCAGTATATATCGTTAGCGTAGGTGGGGTTACTATTCCATCATCACCTATTAAAAAAAAAATAGGCAACCCTATTAAATGAAGCGGACAAAGGTCAAGACAAATTAACAATTGACTGTGGGACATTTCACGTGTTCTCAATGCTTGCTAATGTACCCGTGAATCTAGCGTTGTCATTATAAATCATTATCATCATGACAGCCATTCATTGTCCATTACTAAACCTTCTCCGTAAACTATTTTTTCTATGCATCTTAGAATGGTAAATAAACTGCCGGCCCACCTGATGGAAAGTGGTAACCGTCGCCTATAGACATGAGCAGTACCATGGGCATAACAGAGTATACTGTTTCGCCCGTAATATCCCCCATGCGTTGTCATTCTTGATGACTCAGGTGTTTTTTTTTTTTATTGGGTGATAATGGAATGGTAACCTGCGCTATCAGTATACACCGACGGATCACCAGTGAAGGATAATAGGTGAGGATGAAGCAGGTCAGTTAGCCCATCGTGACGAATTCAATAAGAATTGTTCACGATGGTTTCCAGGGGGAACCACGTGGAGGTCGACCCAGAGTTTGACAGCCCCATTGTTAGCAATATGCCCTATATTGCTAACAATGGGACTGTCAAACTCTGGGGAGAAAGGGATTGTTGCATTGCCAACAATCCCCAACTTAGGTGTTATTCCTCTGTACCCTGTAAACTCGCTGTCATATCCCACCCTTCATACCGAAACACAGCCATACAAACAATTGCTTCACGGTAAAAATAGGAATGAGATAGAGATGCCCAAGCAATAGACTTTTGTACAAAGTCTCCCTCGATAATTTCTTTGTTGACATTTTTATGAAGATTCATTGAAATAGACTATATATAATATTGAACACGAAGAAGGAGTAGGCTACTGTAATCCCGGCTACATAAACGAATTCACGGGTAGAGCTAGTATTTGTTTAGAACGGAACTGACTTGGCGTGCAGTGGTAACATCGCGTGACGGTCATTTCTGACAACATTATGTTTCAAGAACTATTTAGTCACAGCTGATTACACTCATCAGCAACTCATTGCACAGGAATGTGGATTTGAATTTAAATTCCTTATAAGGCATAGGAAATCAAGATAGGTACTTTACACAAACATGATACATGATCGTCATTTCAGCCATTATTCGTCCACTGCTGGACATAATCCTTCTCCATAGATTGCCGTAAAGAACGGCCCTGAGCCACCTGCGTCCACTGACTCCCTGCAATGCATTTCAGGTCGTCACTCCATCTAGGGGGTCGTCCTACATTGCGTTTATTAAACATGATACGATTTCATTAAATGCCGGCCGAGTTTAATAGTTACATACATAGGACGTTATATTTGTCTTTAATGGATGATAATGGAATAGTTACCCCGCCTGCGCTCTCTGAGAGATCACCAGTGAGGGATAACAGGCGAGGATTAAAAGGCAGGTCAGTTAACCCATCGCGATGAATACACTTTGAATTCAGCACGTGGAGATTTGACGTTGAGGACATATTGCTAGCAATGGGATTTGTAATTCGCATTACTCACAACTCCTCCCCCCTGGTTAAGGGCTTATTAGTAATGGAGATTAGCATCCCCATAGCTAGCAATAAACCCTATCAGGTCGACCTCCTCGCGGTTCCCTCTGGAAATCATCGTTTATTGTTTTATTCTTGAATTTGTCACGGTGGGCTAACTGATATGCTTCATCACCTCACCTATTATCTCTCACTGGTGCTATGCCAGTGTATACCGATAGCTCAGATGGAGTTACTATTCCATTATCATCCAGTAATACTCCTTCCTGGTCAAAGATAGTAGTAATCGTGCTAACCACTTACATTGCATTCTTTAGAGCCTTCAAATTGTTGATAATTATTAAAAAAAAAGTTGTTCCAGGCCACTGCCCGGGGCATCGTGCTCAGAAGGCCGACACTGTTAAATTGAATGCAACTTTTTTAATACAAGGTTCGTTACGCATTAATTCACATGAGAATTATCTTTATTTAATTTATGTGTATTGAATTCATACATTTTATGATTTGTTTCAATACAAATTAATGGAAATGTAAATAGATTCTAACACAAGACTCACGAAAATAAGTGTGTGTATAGGTGTGCATGTAAAAAGAAATCAAAAGCAACAGCTGAGTTTCTTACCTGCTCTTCTCAGTTGAAATTGCGCTTCGTACTAGATTGTAGATTCATAAAAAAATACTTTTAAAAATTACCATGTGGTCCCGGCATAGAATGTGGGTTCCTTTCCGTGGGTTCCGTAAGAGGCGACAAAGGGAACTTGATAGTCGAGGGATGGGCAGTAGCATCCCTCTTATATAGCATACATCACTAAAGCCTTACTGCGGTTGCAAACTTGTCTTTCAAGCGTGGCAACTATTGATAAAACCCTTCTTAAGGGATAGATCTATGTTCAGCAGTGGACAGTTAACGGCTGATGGGATTGCGTCTGTGTTCACCCAGAACGGTGTGGTCAAATAAAAAAAAAATACCAAATTTGTCAACATAGCGTTAGTTCTTTCAACTTATAGGTAAGGAGACGTACGGAAATAAGCCGGTATCCATTGCGGCATCTTTTTGCACCTCCGCCAGTCATGCACGCACGAGCGACGCATGCGCAGTCTTTGCATACTTGTACGCTTTCCTTCGTATAAAGAACTTTCCATTTTACATTACAATAACTTGTTGTTCACACTTTAATCTATACTATTATTTTTTAATATTATGACATACTAGGTTTTACAAGAGACTTCGTTCGCGTGACTGGGATATGTTCTCGTCATCTGCATACTCTTATTCCCAATATTTGGGGTTGGCGTAATAGGTTTCTTTTTTTTATATAACTGAGAATGGCAATCGAGCTGACGGTTCACCTGATGGAAAGTGGTAACCGTCGCCTATAGACATGAGCAGTACCATGGACATAACAGAGTATACTGTTTCGCCCATGATACCCCCATGCGTTGCCATTCCTGAGGACTCAGGTGTTATTCCTCTGTACCCAGTAAATTTACGCCATATCCCACCCTTCAAATCGATACACAGCCATGCAAACACAACTGCTTCACGGTTGAAACACGAATGGGACAGAGATACCCAAGCAATCGATTTTTGTACAATGTCTCCCTTCGCTTATTGTATGTGGTATTGTTTGTAATAAGCATTATTGGATTGTGGAAAAGTTTAACACATTGAACTATACCGTACAATAACATAGCCGTGTGGTCCCGGCATAGAGTAGGCTACTCCTTCCTTTCCCGTGGGTGTCATAATAGCCGACTACGGGAGGGCGACGGATGGTCAGCAGCGTCCCTCTTAAACATCTCTCAAGTCTGATTACGGTTGCCAATCTACCTATCAAGTGTGGAAACTGCTGGCAAAACCTCCTAAGGCAAAGGCTTATGTTATGTTAAGGAAGGCCCCTTTGGGGGGGGGGGGGTTTGCCAGTAGTTGTCACGCTTGGCATGACCGCAGTTAGACTATGGAGATGTTTTAAGAGAGATGCTGCTGCTTATCCCTTGCCCTCTCTTAGTCGCCTCTTACGACACCCACGGGATAGAAAGGGGTGGCCTATTCTATGCCGAGACTATACGGCACATATGCAAAGCTTGTTTCACCACAACCCAGAAGGAACATCATTAAGAGGCATTTTTAACTGATTGAACGGAATCTATTTGTGTAAAGTTATTTAGAACGATTGGAATCTAGAAGACGATCAATGTCAAAGAATGATTTGCTACATTATCGTTTAATTCCTCACAAACATCTGTTTCTTTCTAACTAGGCAGTAAACAGCGGTTGATTGGCACATATTGTGATCATTAGATTGGTTTTTATAGTTTTACTCGTAAACCGACATTAAAACGAAGCCTGTTCTCGATTTGGTTTAATTTTTGATTATATTTGTTACCTTATAACTCCACCACTTGTAAACCAATTTGGAAAATTCTTTTTTATCTGGAAGGATTTATTTACAGATTAGTCATACAGAAATGTTATCAAATTTCTATATGCATAGTCTATAGGCGACGGTTACTACTTTCCATCAGGTGGGCCGTCAGCTTGTTTGCCATTCTGAGTTGTAAAAAAAAATATATATTTCGTATGCGTCCATTTCAGGAGTAGCAAAATCAATTCATGTCATTCAACTGTACAATAGCTATGTCAGAAGCAAGTTGGAATATTGCAGTATGGTGTGGTCACCTATGTACAAGATACATGAGGGCAGAATAGAGAGAATACAGAGGAAATTCGTTCGTAGCCTAGCTTATCGTTTTAAAATATCAAGAAATATGAAAACCTACAAAAACAAAATTAAACATTTTCACCTTGATGAACTATGCCTGCGCAGATCTTACCTTGACATGTCTTATCTTCATAAGTTAGTGAATAATCACATTGATTGCCTGCCTCTACTGGGGAAACTAGATTACAATGTACCTACTAGAGTGCCGCGGCATCCTTGTAATCTATTTAAAAATGCAGCTTGCCGAACAAACTTGGGTCGCGAATCACCTATCGTCCGCATAACGCGTCTGTATAACGATATTGTAAAAACCAAGCCTGAACTTGATATTCACTGCGATAGTCACTCTGTTTTCATGACTAAATTGATATACCTCCCCATTACATTATATTTATTTATATTTTATAATAATTTGAATACAATTTCCATTATTTATATTATATTATTATTCATATTGTTAATATCTTTACTCATTTAATAATTTAATTAGATTTTAATGTTTGTCAAACACAAGGCATGCTGTGGTTGCCTATAAATGTAAGAACGGTGAGATCTGAGCTGCCAGTGTATTGTATTAAAACTTAGCTTTATTGTAGCTGTATCTTATGTTGGTAATCCTGTAAATAAATAAATAAATAAATAAATAAAATGACCACTTCTGGATGACGTATCGAGGTAAAACATTTATACCAGATTTTAAGTTAGATCTTCAGAAACACAATTATCAAAACCGCATTCAATTTGATGTATTAGTTTTTGTTTTTTTTTTTTATACTGCTGCTGATTTTCACCACCGTACAACCCGCCACAAACTTAAGTTTCATCCCAATCATCTGGACGAGTGGCGATCTTCCACCGTGCGTTTTTCAAGGCACTTTCTTCCACGCACAACTATTCTTTGGAATCAACTTCCAGCATCAGTATTTCTGAACCGATACGACAACATAACCTTCAAGAAAAGAGTATATTCCTTTTTAAAAGGCCGGCAGCACACCTGCAATGCCGCTGGTGTTGTGGGTGATCATGGGCGGTGGTAGTCACTTAACATCAGGTGAGCCGCATGCTCGTTTGCCCCCTGTGTTGTAAAAAAATGCCACTAAAGTGGCAAACAAGCATACGGCCCACCTGATGGTAAGTGGTCGGATTGAACATACAGACAGATTCATCGATTGATCTTACTAAGATTCCTCATGATAATTTTTCTTAAATATCTTCTATGCACAGAATTAAAGACATTGTCTCGTTACGTTTTTAAAATATTAGTAAAATAGTTTCCAATACGTCTGTTGAGATTACTAATGCTGATAACTGCTGGAAATTACCAAGACTGTATACTTATTTTAATACTAACTACGCCCTCGACTTTGGGTGTCTAAGTTCGTACAAATCATTATCCCAACAACAAAAATATTAACATTCTATGCGGTTGTTAGAAAAGGGGCATTTATTATTTATAATATTTAATATATATATAAAATGATATGTGGGGTACTACGTTATACTAACTTTATATGTATATAATATATTCTTTAGCAATATAAAGGTTGTAAGCCTCTTAGTAATAAATAGAAATAAAGCACAAGTTCACTTAGTTCATTTACTTTAGATATCATACTATTAAATCATATATTTACATATTTTACTTTATATTTGATATATAACAAATACCCAACTTCTGTTAGTCCATTGACACTTATTTAAATATAGCTTCTTTAGGACTTCCATCAACAATAATTGTGATATATTTTATATAATGACCACGGGGTTCACTATACTTGTTCACTCTTGATACGACAGAGAGCTCCGCTCTGTTCAACGGTTGGACAAGAAGTGTTCTCCCCACCCGAATAACAATCTTTTTTATCTACAGGGCTGAATTCGAGTGAACAAGTCAGTGAGACCACGTGTTCTTACAATTCCATTACTGTTTTTTTTATGTATCATGATAATAAATAATTATAAAATTAATTAAAATATAAATTAGTGTTCTATATACATTACAAGAATAATTTATTACCAAATTTGGTATAATAACAATTTTAACGTTTTATTATATTTAAAGTAGTTAATCTGATTTTTATTGATAAATGTAGGTACACATTTTGACACAAGATGTTTAAGAAAATTAATATAATTTAAAATAAATATCTAACACGGTCCATACAATTGAATTGTCTAAATTTTCTCGGCCCCACTATCAAAGTATAGGTAAGTAGGTATTACTTATCATAAATTCAGTGAAAGTTTACTGAATTTGGAATTGAATAATTTATATTTCTATTGTTTTCATGAGAAACAGAACTTAAATTGGTTCATTTGAATAAAAAAAATTTCCACAGAATATAGTTGTACGATATTAGCACATTTGATATTCTTAATAGTATTACACGAACATAACACGATATAATTAACAAACATATATATATATATATATATATATATATATATATATATATATATATATATATATATATATATATATATATATATATATATATATATATATATATATATATATATATATATATATATATATATATATATATATATATATATATATATATACACGAATGCGCATGCATGTGCACACACATAATGATTCATATACGCTCATACGCACACACGCACACACGCATGCACACAAAAACACCCCCCATACGCACATCTATGCACACATATACGACGTTGATAGTGTAGATGTTTACCT